ACAAATGACATTAAAAAGACTATTTGTAGACATAGTAGCAGAAAATATCCCAAAAATGGAAAAGAACCTGACATACTTAGACAAGTAAAAAATTTATAACTCCAGTTATAATAATCAAGATCCTAGAAATTCAGCATAAGTACAGATTATTAAAAGCTGCTAGAGAAAAGAAAAAGATCACCTATCAAGGCAAAACTCACACCAACAATCCCAGTGCTAGACAATGAATTAGTCACAAATCCTAGATTCAGCTGCCTCCATGACTACACGAGTCCTGAGAGGTCACCTAGACACAAACCATACCCTTTCACCGCTGGCCACCCAAAGTCTCATGTACATCCTTTATGTAAAAGACATTTAATCCATCTCCAAGAGTTACCATGCACAATCAGCCACCTGATCTTTGAAAAAGGGTCAAAAACACACACTAGAGGAAAGACAGGCTATTAACAATTTGTGCTGGGAAAACTGGCTAATCACATATAGCAAATGAAATCTAGATCTATATCTCTTATGATGTACTAAACTGAAATCAAAATGGGTCAAGATCTAAATGTTAAAATAGAAATACTTAGTGTGCTGGAAGATAAAAATGGTAAACTTTTGAAGACATAGGCACAGGTAAGAATGTTCTGAAAAGAACCTCAATTGTACAAGAAATAGCATCAAGAAATGAGATCATACCAAATTAAAAACCTTCTGCACAGTACAGAAAACACTCAGCAGCATAGAGAGACAACATAAAGAGTGGGAAAATGATTTTGTCAGCTATTCTTCAGACAGAGGATCAATGTTCACAATATACAAAAACTAAAAACAATCACACCTCACCAAAGAGAAGACCAATCAAAAATGGACAATAGAAATGAATACTTCTAAGAAGGAAAAAGGCCAACAAATATTTAAAAAGTGCTTGATATATCTTGTCATTACATGAATGCAAATTAAAAAAACATGGAGATTCCATCTTACTGTGAAAATGATGGCTAATAACAAGAGATCAACCAATAGCAAATGATGGAGAGGATGTGGGCGGAGGAGGACCTTCTACATTATTGGTGGGAATGTAAATTAGTTCAGCTACTATGGAAATCAGTATGCAGATATCCCAAAAACTAAAAGTAGAAATTCCATTTGAATTAGCTATTCCTTGTCTAGATATCTTCCTCAAAGAGTTAAAGACATCATGTTGCAGTGATACATGCATATACCCATGTTTATAGCAGCAAAAGTCATAATAGCTAAAATCTTGGAACTAGCCTATATATCTAACAACAGCTGAACAGATAAAGTGTGGTATCTATACATAATGGAATACTACACTGCCATAAAGAAAGATAAACTTGAGTCATTTTTAGAACAATGGATGTACCTCGAAACCATAATGTTAAATGAAATAAATCAGACAGAATCTTAAATATCTCATGATTTCTCTTATATGAGAGAACTAAATTATAGACAAATTAATGGATAAATTAAGGGATAAATAATAGGAAACAGGGAGATAGATCTTTTGCAAATGTAAAGGAGACCTAGAGATGGAGGGAGGTAGGAGGGAAGGGGGAGGAAATAGGATGAAAAAAGAATTAAGATGTGTTATGTACGTCTACCAACTTCCATGATGAATGCAATCATTATGTACTGCAAACATGGACTAATAAAAAGAAAAAAAATTCCAAACAGGAAAAATTAAAATAAGTGACTAAAACTAGGCCATAAATATGATATTGAACATGAAATAAAAATATTCCATAAATATCTAAATGTGCACTGTATTTGTTGTTGTTGTTGTTGTTGTTGTTGGAGACACAGTTTAGCTGTGTAGTTCAGGATGACCTTGAACACACTCAGTAGTGCAGGCTGGCCTAGAAGTCAGGCTGATCCTCCTACCTCAGCCTGCCAACTGCTTGTATTTGCAGGTGTGTGCCACCACGACTGACTTAAATGCTCACTGTGTAACCAGGGAATGATGAAAAATAGCACCAGCTGAAGATTAGCTCAGCAGCAGAGTGCTCCTCTAACATGTAGAAGACCCTGGGTTTGATATTCAACACTGTCAAAAGATAAAAGAAGTAAAATGAAACTCAGCCCTTGGGTGGTGCCTATAATCTCAGCTATTTAGGAAGTTGAGGCAGGAGGCTCACAAATTTTAGGCCAGCCTATGCAATTTTTTCACCCTCTTTCGAAATAAATAATGTCTGAGGTATAACTTATGGTTGAGCATCTGCCTAACATGTATGAGACCTCGGTTTTATCCCCAATGAGGATTTGATCAGTAAGCCAACCAAGCCCTGAAGATGGCAGAGGAACAAAGAATAAACAGAAAAACTATATCTTGTAAGTCTGAGGCTCAGAAATGACAAGCTTTCACATCAGACCATATCCCTTTGACCAATGCCAAACCTTTTGAACCCTAACATTAAAAATATGGGCCTAGAACATGACTCAATGGCACAGCACCTGCCTGGCAAGTGCAAGGTTCTGAGTTTGATCCTGTTACAAAAAAATATCAGATAATATGCTTCAGTCCTCCTGAGATAAATTGCAAAATCATATGACAGATTGTGTGGAAGCTGTAACGGAGTGAAGAATTGTGACCCGTTGATCCATCAACCATAGACACCTTCACAATTATTTTCATTCCTCTATCCGCTGAGCCTGCTTCACCATTAGCAGGAAGTTAGCACAGCCATGACATCAGAATAGATCCCATGATCACCTGTCATTTATTGTTTGCCCTAGAGAGGCTTTCTCATTGCCTTTCATGCCTTTCTTTGCTGTCTCTTTCATTTAAAATGTTTGTATTTATATACAGTCAATTCCCTGTCTCCAAGTTTGTTCGTATAATCACTGGCAGCATTCATGATCTTCTGTTCTCACATATTCACAGGCCACACACGCAAGCAAATGGCCACAGGAATTTTCAGAGGAATACTTCACCTTGTCTTGGTGGATTATTATCGTATGACCCATGCCTGAATCTTTGGCAGGCCTCAACTACCTTTTGTTGGTACATTTGCATTCAGATATGGGCCATGAAGTGACTACTTGGAATCTTATTGACCCTAAGTGAGTTCGTTATCTTTCTGGCTTTATATACAGATAATTGCTTGAGGTCTCACATTATTGATCTAAAAGTTTAGAAGTTCCATGTGGCTTTTTAAAAATTTTGTTGAATTAGATAACTACTTTTTGATTAACTCTACACTCAAGAAACTGACTCTCATACTGGTATGTTAGCATGCTGCCCTGCAGGCAAATGATATCCTGATATAATTTAGCACCTTACCCTGGGACTGTTTCAACCAAGTCAACTAAACCAAACCCAAAAAGGCAAATATTATGCCCCAGCTTGGTTGCACGCACCCATATAATACCAGCACTCTGAGAGGCTAACGTAGCAGGATCACAAGTTCAAACCCAGCATGGGCAACTTGGTGTCTGAAAATTTAAAAAAAATTAAAAGATTTGGAGAAAAAAATTCAGTGTGAAGTACCAGGAATTGACAGCCAGTACCACAAAAACAAAATGTTATATGAGTCTACTTATCTAGGGTATCTAGAGCAGGCAAATTATTAGAGCTAGGAGAATAGTGGTTTTCAGAGTCTCGGAGTAGGAGGGAAAGGGAGTTACTTTTTAAAGGATATGAAGTTTTACCTAGATGATGAACAAATTCTGGAAATGACCAGTTGTAATAGCTGCACAACACTGAAAATAATTAATGTCACTGAATCATAGCATTAAAATGATAAACTTTGTTATATTTTATATATTTATATTACCGTAATAAACATCATGTTGTATTTGAAAGTTGCTGTGAAGTAAAAATCATGCAGTACTTGAAAAGAACAACTATACTGTTTGGTGATCAGTCAAAATAGTGTTCAGAAAAAGGCACTTTAATTACCATATTAAAAGTGACTAGGTTATGACTATCATTAAAGGTCACCACCTATTTCATACTATTTGAAGGTTTAAAATTCAATTGAAATATAATCCTCTAAGAACAAAAGTTACAAAACAAGGCTCAATAATAAAGTATTTATATTTATAGGAAGAAAACTTATAGTACTTAATGATGATTAAAAATTTAAATTGCATTCAGTTTGGCAAGGTATTTCCTCTAGTATTGTAGTACAATAATTAGTATATTGCAGAAAGATACACCCAGATCCTAACCTGTAGAACTTACAAATATTGTCTCTCAAAGCAAAATATGTGGCTATATTAAGGATTATTTGTGCCGTACTAGAGGTGCAACCTAGGACCTTGCACTAGCTGAGCACTCTACCACTAAGTTATATCACAGCCCCATAAGGGTCTTGAAGAACGAATTTGTCTTGTATTATCTGGGTAGATCCTAAACGCAGTTACATGTATTCTTATTGAAAGAGTTGCTGGCCCAGACCGGACACTTTAACCAAGAAAAGCCGCAGCCAAGATAGGGGGGTCCTGCCTCCCCCGCCCCTATAAATTTGCCTGTAACCCTATACCCCCATCCCTGGGAACCTGTTTCTGGCGCCAAGCATGTGCCAATGAAATACCTGTGCATCCCTAATGCCCCTTGGGGTCCACCCCAGTCAGAGGCTACTTATGGGCCTGACTCCACATGTTAGAAAAGAAGAGAAGGAGAAGAAGAAGAAGAAGGAGAAAGGGAGAGTGTGTTCCAGAGAGAGACCACTGGCCCCGGGTGCAGAAAAGCAGGGAAGTATACAGAAGGGAAAATGTAGAACAGAAAAAGATGCGACCACAAACCAAGGGATACCAACAGGAAGACAAAAGGTACAGATTCTCCAGGAATGGTGGTGCAACCTATGTTCCCGGCATTGAGGAAATCTGAGGCAAAAAGATCACAAGTTAAGGACCAGCCAGAGCAACCTATCAACTTAATAAGAACTTGTCTCAAAAAAAAAAAATGCAAAAAGAAATGGGGCTAGAGCACAGCAGAAAGACTCTAGGTTCCATTCATAATATCATTAAAATAGTCAAAATATGGTTTTCACATTTATTACTTTATTTCTACTTCATTTTATGTGATGGAGCAGGGGGCGAGCCTAAAAAGAGGGACCTCTAAGAAAGATGATGGTAGAAGCAGAGGCTCCAGACAAAAGTGATAGCGGTGATGTTTACCACTTAGTGCAGGTAAAGCAGTTGGAGAAAAAACAGAAGATCTTGTGGGGAGGGTTCATAGTTTTGGGGATAGAGGTGGGGATGGGTATCAATTTGATGGTGCGTGTGTTCGAAGAGCTCCTGAAATCGACGCGTCGTCTGAGGGCTCATACTCCTGCAATGCAAATAATCAAAAGTTTAAGTACTTGCCATGAAATATACAGTCCTGAATACACAAAAGTAGATGCTCATGGGAATTTTAGAGGTTATGTAGTTTATTAATTTATCAGTCATTAATTTATCACACTAAATATTTATTATTGCTTTGTTCAGGATTGAATTCAAGGCCTTACAAATGACCAGCAAGCGTTTTACGACTGAGATATGTACCCTGCCCTGGATTTTCTTTTTGAAAGTGAAATACCAGCTGAGTGTGTTGGTAAATGCTTGTAATTCCAGCACTCTTGGAGGTTGAGGTAGGAGAGTAGAAATTCAACACCCAGGGTAATTTAGCCAATGAGTGAAACTCAAAATTAAAAAAAAAAAAAAGAATAAAGGGCTGCAGATATAACTTAATGCAGGGGTCTTGGGTTAAATTCCCAGTATCAAAAAAGCATTTTGAACGTACTTTTTGACATCATCAAATGTTTTTCTCAAAAGTGTTTTTGTGTAGTTTATTGTCACAAAACATTCAGTACAATTTAAACAGTATAATTTAAGAAAATAATACCTGGATCTTTTCCATGCATGAAAAAGGTTTATTGTCTTAGAAATAAGATATATGGAGTTATTTAAACTAAAATGCAAGTTTACCAAAAAGTCTTCCTTGAGTCTTATTTTTTCTCTATTTAACAAGATGAATTTCTAACATAGCACTGAAAATGCTGTGCAACACAAAGTATAGTTACTATCATTACCTGGTTTCCGCATTGATCGAATTTTGTTTCTTGTTCTTTGATCTTTTATTTCTTTTTCTGTGTCTACGACGCTTCGACCTTGAATCCCCCATTTGCCTTCAAAAGAAATATACATTTAAGAATACTGTTTTTGGAAATCTTTAAATGATGTTGAATATAATAAAGCATTTTTACAACTTAAATTCTGAGTCATGACTATTTTCATAAAAATGAAGTATCTATGTGGCTGTGGGGCTAAGCACTTGTAGTGAGAGTAGTAGGCATGAAGAAATCTGCCCACAAGTCAGTTAAAATGAATAGAAACTTCTCAACAACAGAAGTATAATTGCCCCATAGGTTCATGAAAAACAGTTCAGCATCTTTGGCCATTAGGGAAATGCAAATCAAGATAACACCCAGATTCTATCTTACTCCAGAAAGGATGGCTGCCATCAAGGACTCCCACAACAACAAATGCTGTTGAGATTATGGGGAAAGGAACTCTTCTATATTGTTGGCTGGAATGTAGATTCCTATAACTACTTTGGAAACCGGTATGGAGATTTACAGAGAGCCATTCTGGACCTTGCTGCAGTCCAGTGGAGTTTATATTTGCAATCCTTAGGAAGTTATTGGAATTCCAATAAGCAATTCCAATCTACCACTTCCAGAGCAACCCACAGCGGGAATAAAGATATAAGCACATATATATATAGTGATGGGGAGCCCAGGAGGTCCTAAGACTACTTAGAACAATAACTAACCAGAACAAAGACTTCCACCCATTGTCAAACCTGGGTTTTATTAATTCATGAACAGGAGTGGCTCCATGATAAGTGATTGTGAGAATGGTGGGAAGCAAGTGAGTGCTGTGAGCTGTGCTAGTTAGGAAGTAAAATAGCACCTCTTGGCACCTCTGCAGCATGAAGAGAGAGGTATGCAACAAGACGAATCTTCATGCCTCAGTTTGAAGAAGTAATTTGTGTTTTGGGGTTGATGCTTTAGCTTTGATGCTCTGAGATGTCATAGATTCCTTTATGCTCTGAGATGTCATAGATTCTTTCTGGAGCTTCAGTCTCAGTCAACAGTCCAGCCTCAATCCACCTAGCTTACATATACTAGTTGGAGACTGTAGGTGGAGCGTCACGGACTTGTCTCACATTGCTTTAAAAGCTACAGATCACCATCTAGACTAGACCCATTTGCATTGTTTAATGCAAATTGATGTGGTAAATAAATATTCCAGCCAGTTCTGTGTATATCAATACACAGAATTAAGGCTAGTTTAACCAAAATGAAGACAAATGCTCTTCTTTTCAGTAGAACCACCCTGGTGGTCCTCTATGGAGATTCTTAAAACTAAGAATAAAGATTCTGTTTGACCCAGCCAAACCTCTTCTGTGTATGTCCCCAAAGAAATTAAATACCTCATATTAGCAGTGATACAAGCATACTCTTGTTGCTAGCAGCACAACTCATAGTAAGTAAAACTTGGAAGCAGCCTATAAGCCAACTGACAGATGAATGAATAAATAAAATGTTGTATATATACAAAATGGAGGACAACTTAGTCATAAAGAGGGATAAATTTGAATAATTTGTAGGAAAATCCACTCCTCTCCTCATGAGTTCTTACTGCTAAGTAAAATAAATTAGACACAGAAGGTTAAATGTGGCATGGTTTCTCATATGTCAGAAACTCAAAGTATAACAACTTAAGGAGAAAAATAAAAGACAAATGACAGGAAGCAGAGAGGTAGACTTTGTGGAAATGAGAAGAGATGGGAGGAGAAGAAGAAAGGAGAAGGGGATATAAAAAGAATGTGATATGGATATGCACCAATTCCTCATAATAAATGTATTTATTATGTATTGCACACACATACTAATAAAAACATTTTTAAAACATATTTTTAAAAAATATACCCCCAACTAGAGGCAAATAATCGCACATTTACTCCTAGAAAAAAATGAAAGTGAAAAAAGAGGTGAACCAAGTAGTTTTCCTTCATTCGTTGTGGACATTTTGACTGTTTTGCTATTGAAATTCAGACCTTAGAAACTAATACAGGAGAGGAGGAGCTGGGCAGATCTGGGGTGCCCTCACTGGGCTCTTTGCGTGTCTGGAGGACTCTGGATATCTCTGTCCAGACTGTTGGAGTCCCCCCAGGCTCCCAGGTGCAGTGAAGGGGAGAGGTGAGTTTGAGGCTTCCACATCAGCCTCCCCATTCCTGTTGCAGTTGGAGAACTGCTGAGCTCCCGACGGATGGGCGGGCCCACACTATCAGCCGAGCCCAGCCTGTTGTGCTGCCGCACCTGGCCATCGGTGTGCAGAGGAGGAGCTGGGCGGATCTGGGGTGCCTGCATCTGCCTCTCCGTGTGTCTGGAGGACTGTGGATATCCATGCAAGCAGGGAGGGACCACAGGTTCCTGAGGCGCTGAGGCCTGTGGTGAGTACCCTAACCTGGCTGCAATTGAAGAACTGTGGAGCTTCCAAGGGGCAGGTGGGCACACAGTGTCCCTGAGGCCCAGCTTGTCTGGAACTGCTGAGTTCTGAGCAGGCAGAGGAGGGCCACTGGTTCTGTAGTCCCAATGGCTTGGGGTAGCATGGTGCCAGAGTCTCAGTAGCTGCAAACATAGAAGGGGATTTTCAACAGATCCTGAGGAAGCTTTCAAATAAAACTTGAAACACAGAAATATAGGAAAATGACAAAACGAAAGACCAAATTTTTTTTTTTTAAGAGGAAAAAGAGATAAACACAAAACAAACCAAAGCGGCGTAAGGGTACACGCAATACAGAACTACAAAACAAAATAAAACAAAACAAAACAAAACAAAAAAACATAACAGTAAGAAATTACCTGCTAGTAGATTACACACTATTTTCTTGAAAATAGTTCCTCAAATCACAGTATCAAAGAACACAAGGTGGACATTCAAACAGGGAGACTGCAAACAGCTGTGTTCAATGTTCCAAAAACATTGATAAAGTCAGCTATTTAACACCTCCAAACACACTTGCTGTTATATGCGTTAGAGCTCTTTTTCTTTTTTTTTTTTTTTCCCTCTCTTTTTTACAACAAAATTTACACATCTTGGATTTTATTACACCTTAGTGCTTATTACTTTCTTTGGGGGGGGGGAAGAATACAGTCAAATATGGCAAAACAAAGCTGTCAGTCAATACCAAGGATAGACATAGCACATGGTGTAGAACAGAGTACAAGTTTATCAACCATGGTTATCAACGTCGTCCCTTGTTTCCTTAAAAAGAATTGTCTATCTTATTAGATATTATAAAGTTGGACAAAACAGTAGAGAACAAGACCAATAAAACTTAGGCATTGTAAACATTACAGGACTTCCAAAGAAGACAATAGTTAAACCAGAATGGGTATCTTAGTGAATCTTATTGTCTTCAAAGTAATTGCCTATGTCTTCAAACTTGATACTATCATATAGAATGGAACAGAGTCTAATCAGTCAAAACAAGATCGTGGGAGTACTACAGGACTTCAAAACAAGTTAATAGGAAATCGAAAAGAGTTGCTATTTATATATCCTAATTTTTTTGAATTTTTTCTTTAATTAAGACAAACATAAGAAATGACTAAATAATTTTTTTTGAAACAATAAGGGGAAGATTGAGATAAAACAGGACATAACAATATAACAATAGAGGTCACAGCATGACTGTTTCAACAACCTAGTACTTCACCACCTTATAACCTGACTTAATAGTAGTTACCATAGTGTCTTTTTCCTTGAAATATTTGGGTAAAACTTCATATACTCTAGCTTCAAATATTTGCGTATCAAGAAGCCCAGAATAAAGCCTTTCTAATTAATGAGTGAAAACTTTATAAGGCTTCAGGGCCACCTAATGGGGAATCATGATTACCACATATTTTTATATATTTGAAACATTATTTACATTAGGGAAACTATTCGGTATTCACACATGCGAGATTGATTTATTTCACTAATGAGTATGGTCCCAAGCTGCGCCCATTTATTGATAAATATCTCAATGTGATCCTTCTTTATAGCTGAATAATACTCCATTGTATAGAAATACCACAACTTTTTTATCCATTCCTCAGTTGATGGTCACTTGGGTTGTTTCCAAGATCTGGCGATTACAAATTGTGCTGCTATAAACATAGGTGCACATATATCACTGTGGTATGATGCTTTCAGTTCTTCTGGGAATATGCCTAGAAGTGGAATAGCTGGAATAAATGGGATTTCCAGTCCCAACTTTTTGAGAAATCTCCAGACAGATCTCCACAAAGGCTGTACCAGTCTACACTCCCACCAGCAGTGCAGGAGAGTTCCTTTTTCCCCACAGCCTCTCCAGCATTTGTTGTCGGTTTTCTTGATCCTGGCCATTCTTTCAGGAGTGAGATGGTATCTCAGTGTGGTTTTAATTTGCATTTCTCTAATGACCAATGATGATGAGCATTTTTTCATGTATTTATTTGCCATTTGCATTTCTTCATCTGAGAATTGCATATTCATCTCAGATGCCCATTTTTGGATTGGATCTTTGAATTTCGGAGGTCTGAGTTTCTTTAATTCTTTATATGTTTTAGACAAGAGGCCCTTGTCTGAGAGAGAGTTCACTAAAATCTTTTCCCAGTTTGTGGGTTTTCTTTTCACTATGCTGGAGATTTCTTTTGACATGCAGAAACTTTTTAATAAGAAGTGGTCCCAGTTATTGATTCTGGGAAGTATTTCCCGTGCGGTTTGAGTCCTGTTCATGAATTCTTTACCTACTCCTATGTCTCCAAGGTTTCTACCTATTTTGTCTTCCAATAGATTTAGTGTTTCTGTTTTAATATTCAGATCTTTGACCCATTTAGATTTTAATTTAGTACATGGTGATAGACATGGGTCTAGCTTTAGTTTTCGGCAAATGGAGAGCCAGTTTTTCCAGCACCATTTATTAAAGAGACTGTCGTTCTTCCAGTGAATCTGCTTGGCTCCTTTATCAAAAATAAGGTGGTTGAGTGTGTTCGTAGTTGTGGTTGTATCTTCTAATCTATTCCACTGATCTTCAGCTCTGTTTTGATTCCAATACCATGTTGATTTTACTACTGTTGCTTTGTAGTAT